TTCCTATCAGCAGCAACCCTGGTAGCATCTGGAGTGGCTCCAGCTACGTCAGCCCGGGGGCTCTGGAGTTGGGTCTGGCCGTCCGGACAGGGCTGCTCAACAGGTTTGAGCCCCCCTGCAGCGGAAGGCCAGCCCCACCTGGTTGCCTCAGAAGCCCCACGGCCGATGAGCTGGTGCTAACATTTATTTCAGGGAAACCTCGTGCCCTTGTCTGAGGCTTCAGCCTGGCCGGCCTGCCGCTCTCTAGTTGGCCAGCTGGCGGCTCTCCTTGTAGGGCTGAAGTGCCCGGGTGCTGGGGGTTGCTTGTGGCCCACTCAGCTTCTGGGGCGGTGGCCCGTAACCCTCCCTTGCCCCGGGTGCTGACCAGGCCCTGGTCCCAGAGCTGGCGCTGGCCCCGAGCCGGCAGCTGCACCTGCACTGCTCCATCCCCCTCAGGGGAAGACAGGAGCTGTGAGCTCACCTGCTCCTTCCCCTCCTTTGCCCACTGGTGGGGGGCGGAGGACCCGGGAGGACCTGCCTCCACACGTGCTCCTAAAGCTTCCTGCCTCTAACGTCCTTTCCATGTCCCGCTGCACTGGTGCAGACCTTACCACTGGCTGGGCTGGGTCCCTAAATGCCAGAAAGTGACTCAGAGAACTCTGCCCTAATCCGAGAACCACAGGTGGAGGGATGGGCTCCAAGACAAAGGTGAGCCTCCCTCCGTGAGGTACCTGGGTCGATGTCCACATTGCAGCAGCATTTTCAGTCTAACTGGTGGCTGTCTCAGGCCAAAGACAAGGCAATTTTTACTCTGTGAAAAAGTTGACAAGAGCTCCAAACGGGGGCCACATGCCTTCCCCTCACACGGGCAGCTCCGCCCTGTAGGGACAAAGCCCCGTTCACCCAGATGCAGGGTTGCAGGGTCACGGGAGAAACAGGTGTTCAAGTCCCTGGAGAAGACAACTCCCCATCTAGCAAATGGGGACACAAGTGACAGACAAAACTACTTTTTTATATGCATCAGTATTTTTTGTTCATTAAAACCGGTTGATTATCCATCACAGCCTTGGTGGTCTGTTCTGGGCTGGGAGGGGCCAGTTCCTTAGGACTTATCCTCCTCAGCAGCAAAGCCCAAGCCTGATAGCCGGGCCAGCCTGACAGCAACAGAGGCCCCAAGGGCAGAGCAGGAAGTGGGGCACTTGGCTCTTGTGCTCCCGGCCCCTCTGCTCACACTGATGGACAAGTGCAAAGAGCAGTGCTTCTCAGCCTTGGCTGCCTACTGTCCTGATGTCCAGACGGATTAAATCAGAATCCCTAGGATGCAGGTAGCAGCAGCATCATGCAGATGACATGCCTGACTGTGTAGAAAACCCTAAGTAATCTACAAAAAATAAAAACACCTAGAATAAGGGAGTTCAGCAAGATCTCAGGATTCAAGACAAATATCCAAAAACCTATTTCTAAATATTAGCAATGACTGAACACTAAAACACACAGTACCATTTATAATTGTTAAAAAAAAAACCCACTTAGGTGTAACTAACAAAACATGTAAGAATTTGTATACTGGAAACTTCAAAATGCTGATGAATGAAAGGAATAAATGGAAACATACACACGGACTGACAGAAGCAACAAAAATGTCAGTTCCACCCAAACTGATACACAGGTTTAATCCAATTCCTTCCAAAATCCCAGCAAGATTTTTTTTGTAGATGTAAACAAGATTATTGTAAAACTTAAAAAGCCAAAACAACTTTAGGAAAGAACAAAGTCCACCCAATTTCAGAACTTATTAAACAAACAGCTACAGCAATCAAAACAGTGTGGTGCCGGTGGGGGGACAGACCCATCAGTCAACAGAACAGAACAGACAACCCAGAAACAGACACAGCAAATATGCCCAAAGACGTGAAAGTCATTCAACGGAGGAAAGATATGCTTTACAACAAATGGTGCTGGAGGAACTGGACACCAATAGGCAAAAACACCCCCAAAACACAACACCTTAACTCAATAATGGATCAGTTAAATGCAAATTAAAAACTATAAAAATTTTAGAAAAACAAAAAACCTTCACAATTAAGGACTAGATAAAGAATTCTTAGACATGACACCAAAAGCATAATCCATTATAGAAAAAACCGGTAAGTTGGGCTCCATCAAGATTTAAAATTTTGCTCTGTAAGAAATCCTGTTAAGATGAATAAGTTAGATTGGGAGATAATACGTGCAAACCGAAAACCCAAGAAAGTTAGTATTTAGAATGCACATACTATATGTAGACAATATACTCATTATATATAGAACATATGAAGAACTCAAATCTCAGCAATAAAAAAACGAAACAATCTAATTAGAAAACGGGCAAAGGCCATTCCACAAAGTGAAAGCAGCACGTGAAAAAATACACATCAGCCATCATGGACATGCAAATAAAACCCACAATGAGATAGCACTACCTCCCTACCAGGCTAAAATAAAAACCAGTGACAATACCAAATCCAAGAGGATTTGGAAAAGCGCTCACTCATCGCTGGTGGGAATGTAAAATCGTACAGCCACTCTGAAAGTTTGGCGGTTTCCTTCCTTTTTAATGGAGGTACTGGTGATTGAACCCAGGACCTCGTGCATGCTAGGCACGTGCTCTCCCTCTGCGCTATACCCTGCCCACCAGAAGCTTCTTTTAAAACCTAAATATGCAATGACCATACAACTTGGTAGTTGCACTCCTGGACATTTAGCTCAGAGAAAAAGAAAGCCAATGTTTGCACAAGAACCTGTAATGAATGTTCATAGCAGCTTTATTTGGGAATAGCCAAAAACTGGAAACCACCCAGATGTCCTTAAACGAGACAGTGAGTATACAGGGAATACCACACAGCAGTTAAAAAGGGAATGAGCGACTGACACATGCAACAGCCTAGATGAGTCTCCAGAACATTATGCTGAGTGAAAAAAGCCAGTCCCATTGGTTACATACTGTAGGATTCCATTTACATAACATTCTTGAAATGACAAAATTATAGAGATGATGAACAGATTAGTGGTTGCCAGGGATTAAGGATAGTGGCTGGAGGGGGTGGGTGTGGTTCTAACAGGGTGGTGGGAGGGAGATAACTTGTGGTGAGGGAACAGTTCTGCATCTAGACTGCAGTGGTGGTTACACAAATCTACAGGTGGTAAGATGCTACAGAACTACACACCCACATGGTGGCAGTGTCTGAGTCCTGGTTTTGGTACTGTATGGTAAGTAAGATGTAACCGTTGAGGAAAACTGGTGAAGAGTACGTGGGTCCTCTATCTTTGCAACTTCCTACGACTCTGTAATTATTTCAAAATAAAGTTAGTTGGGACGGGGGTTAGGGAGGGTGGCAGGAATAGCTCTAAATGCAACTTGCTATCTTGGACTGGATCCTGCAACAGAAAAGGGGTATTACTGGAAAAAAAAACCGGTAAAAATTCAAGACAGCCTGTAATTTAGTTAATGGTTTGTACCAACATTAATTTTTTAGTTTTAATAAGTGTAACAAAGTTATGTAAGATATGAACATTTCAGGGAAGCTGGTGTGAATAATATGTGGAAATCGTCTGTGTATCTAAAATTATTTCAAAGCATAAAACCCTGACGCCCAGACTGATTAAATCAGGACCCCTTTGGGGTGGGGGGGGCAGGTATCAGTTTTTTAATTTGCCATGTGATTTCAACGTGCAGCCAAGGTTAAGAACCACTGTTCTGGAGAGAGATCATTTTAAAGTATCTGTTTCCCACCTGGGTTTGCTCTTGGAGAGAATTCCTTGAGAACAATTTCTAAACGAGCATGCCATTGCTTTTTGGCCCTCCTTCCCACTGATCCTGGATAAGGACCCAAATTCCTCTGAGAAAAATCCCTCCCTATCCTAGATCCCTGTGATGCCCCGGTTCCTAGGCAGCTGCAGCACCATGGAAGGTGAATTTAGGTGAACCAGAAGACAAGACAAATGCCTTCCTGTTCCCACTTCTCTTAAACCCCAGAGCTAGAAAAGCAAGAAAGCAAAGAGCCTGAAATGTTTCAGAGAACTCTGATTTCATGTTCTTCTCTCTAAACAAGGTGATGGGGATCTACCTGGTCCACAACCAGCCCCCGCCTCCCTCGCTGCTGTCCAGGCACCTTACACCACACAGCACCCCCCTGGGCCTCGCAGGAAGGTACAAAACAGGTCAATAGGTGGTTACCCTCCCTGGAATCTGACAACAAAAAAGGATTAGGTGCAACTTTCTCCCACGTGTGACCTCTTCTTGAAACACAGAAAATGACAATACTGTCAGTGGTGACGAAGCAAGGCAGGCGCGGGAGTGGCAGCGCGCTCCCCAGTCCCACCGGGGCCAGCACGCTCACTCAGGGCCAGGGGAGGGGTCGGGAAAGCCACCTCCACAGGAGGGAGCGGGACTGCTAGGACAGACCAGCTTGTCGGTTTGGCACAAAGGACAGGCTGGGTGCGAGCTCTGAAGCACGGCATTGTGTGGGAAGCCAAAAAGGTCACCAGTGAGTGGCCAAGGCCGTGGATGTGAACCCCCAGCCCAAACTGGTGCTCTTGGTTTGATCAAAAAGTGCTGCCTGCAGCAGGTTGGCAACTTAGAAGCAGAGAGTACAGGTCACCGCCACACAGAGGCGGTAATCGTGGACTCACGTCGTGGCTTGGCCGGAAGAGGTATAAACACACTGCACTGTCACAGGGAGGCTGGGCCCCAGGGACTGGAGATGATGCTGTTCCTTTCGTTCCGGTCGGAAGCAGACTCGGGGCTGGGCCCTGGCTGACCCCCATCTCCCGAAGGGGGGCAGGACCTGAAGGCTCCTGGCACTGACGTCTGGTTCTGAGGACAGCCAGGACCGCACCTACGAGGGCCACCTAAAACGTGGCCTGCAGGGGTGGGGACAGGCTGGCAGGAAGCCGCTCCAGTTCCCCACGTGCTTGTCCGTTCCCCAGGCCTGGGGCGGCCTGGCAAGCGTTAAACTCCTGGGTTCCGCCCTGGGCTGTCCTCCGCTGGGAGGCCGGGTCTGCTGTGGTTGGACCCTAGCGGAGAGAGAAGAGGAGGGTCAGCAGCCGGGCCAGTAAAGGGACAGGTCCTAGGAAACCAGTGTGCAAAGCTTCTTTAGGACAGAAAGGAGCAGGTGAGGCAAAGGAGCCCCCGGCCTGCGCGAGAGGCATCAGGCAGAGCAGGGATGTGCACTTAGGAAAACGGCCGGCCTCACGGGAGAAAACCACCGTGAGGACAGAGGCCGTCACTGAGGGGAGGGGAGGCAGGGCTTCTGCCCGTGGGAGGCCGAGGCCACAGTGCTGGGCTGGAGGCACCTGCCCTAGACAACACAGCCTGCGCTGGAAGGAAGCTTTCGTTTCCAAGGCTGAGCAGGCATCTATCTCATGGTCTCTCCTGCCTTTCAGAAAAAATGAGATGAAGGTAGCAACAAGGGACAGGAAGCACCCACTCACCCCCCATAGAGCAGTGCCTCCCATCTGGGGAGACAGGTCTGCAGTGCCCCCCCAGCAGCTAACGGGCTGGGGAAGGACAGCAAGGAGACAGTGAAGGGGAGATATTTACCTTGGGTGTGTTCTTAAAACAAAAATGCTCATTACTCCACAGTCAATTATCAACTGCAGTTTCCAAATGTGCCAAAGAGGGAAAGGTCTACTGGGAAGGCTAGAGAGAGAGCAGAGGGGGAGAGAGAGGGAGTGGGGGAGAGAGAGAAAGGAGACGAGCTGTGGAGCTGAACCGGCAGAGCCGCTCGCTCGCTCCCTCAGGCAGGGGAGCTTCGCTGGGGCCTGGCCGCCGCCTTCTGCCACTTGGAGCGGAGGGGACCGGGACGCTTGGCGTCCAGAATGGACTCTCCCTGGGAGTCTGGCTCGGGGAATGACCGACACGGAGGTTTTCTGAGTTCGAAATGGCGGGCTGGGGCTCAGAAAGCTGCTTCTGTAAACGGCCGGTGGTTCTCAGCGCTGGCAGGTCTTGGTGACAACGACTCAACTCCATTGTCGCATCCCAAAGGCAGCCACGTGCAACCCAGAGGCAAACAGGCACTTCCAATAAAACCTCATGAGAACAGGCAGTGGCCAGATTTGGCCCTGCTGCCCTGTGCTGACCCGGCTGTGTGTAGGCAGCTAAAACCCAACGTTTCAGTAAAGGCACTTCTCTGCCAGGAACCTGGAGCCAAAGTCACCCAGAGGATAGTCTGACCTGCACTGTCTTCAGCAACGCCCCAGTGACACATTCACATGTGGTGGCACTAAGCTGCCCAGGGCAGCGAAGCGCCAGGTGAACAGGGATCAACTGCAAAACCCCGCGGGCCACGCCAGGCGCAGGAAGACGCCCGCCCGAAGCCGAGGGCAGGTGACACTTAGGGGAAAATGACCGGCGTGATGACAGAACAGGTGCTGTAGTCCATTACCAAGAGGAAATGAGCCACGAGCCGCTGAGGCCAAGAGAGGATGAAAACCCCCTGGGTGTGAGATAAGAGATGAAACGAAGGGAAAATTGTAATTCTTGGATTTAAGTTTGCACCTTGAATACAACACATGCAGTCTGAGTAGCAGATGGAGCCAGAAAAGGCTCACGTGAAAATGCAAACCAAAAGGCCCACAGTATTTTGTTGTTGTTTGTTTTGGGGTGGGAGGTACAGTATTTTTGAAAAATAAAAATATCCTGGCTTCTGAGGGCAGAGTCTGCCGTGATGGTGTGACCTTCTGCACCAGGGGCGCCTCACAACATAAAAGCACGTCTCGCTAGGTGAACAAACCGAGCGGGTTCAGCCCTGAAGGGCGAATGACGGGCCCCTTCATTCAGAAGTGACTGCAAGCGTGCCCGGACCCAGGCCTCCAGCAGCAAGACCCCCACGGCCTCTTCCCAGCATAGCAATGGAGCCACCCACGCAGCCCCTGAAGTAGCACCTTTCCATTCTTACTGAAACATGGGTCCAGTAAGCAGAGCTGTACCTGTAAGGCACCAAGACCCAGAGGCCAAGGGCACGCACAGCCCCTCCAGGAACACCACATCCTGAAGGACCTCAGACCCCAACCTAGGAGCTCAGATGAATAGAAAGTGCCTTCCTGAATCACAAGGACAGGGAAGTTCGCTGACGTCTCACCTCTCCTACCCAGAACCCACTCTTCACAGGCTTCTTTTCATTTTTCCTCTTTACACTGTGAGGGTGGGGTTTTCTGTCCCACTTTGCAAAGTTCATTTCTTCCTGCTCCCGGTGGAACCCAGGATGGGAGGGCCAGGCTTTACACACCAGCGTGAGATGACAAAATGCCTCAGCAGGTGCCCCTCTGGGTTTTCAGGATGGTGTCCACTGGCCGAGCCTGGCCAATTGGTGACCCAAATCTTCATTTTCCAGGTGACCTAACCTTAACCTTCAACGACCAACAGAGTGTCTGAACTTGACCTTACACCCATTTAGCAACTACAGCTTGGGTTTGCATTGGGCAGGTCTACTTATATGTAGTTTTTAAAAAACAGTAAATGCTACAGCGTTACATAGGATGTGGAACCGCGGATACATAAGACCGACTACGTTACATGCAGATTTTCGACTGCGTAGAGGGCTGGTGCCCCTCGCTGTGCTGTCCAGGCTCAACCGTGTTCTTTAATTAAATCAACCTACCCAACAGGCCCTTGAGAGAAAATGCGGACTTATATGCTCTACTCAAAATGCCAGCTGGTCTGAGCTACTAAAAACAACAAGGGAGAGAGAAAAGGATGGGGAGATGAAGGGAGAAAGAACGAATGGAGGGCGAGGTGAGGAAGCAGGAGCAGGTCTGTGTGTGCAGCCAGGAGGAAGAAGGGCCCACTTGCCCTGGGGTCGATGCCATGAGATGTGGCTGCGTGGGGCTCACCTGCCGTGGTGGCTGTCTTGTCACCGAGGAGCCTGGTCTGGCTGCCTGGGATGGCCTGAAGGTCCGCGTTCTCAGGGGACGGCGGCAGGGTCTGGGCTCGGGTAGCCAGGAGTGCGTTGAGGTACTGCAGCCGCGTGACCTGAGGACAGGGATTGTCACCGAGCAGGCACAACCTGTGCAGCCAGATGGGGAAGGTGAGGGAGAGGTCACACCACTCCCTCCTGCCCTGGAGCACCTGAGCTATGTGGAGAGTCAAGGGAAAAGGAAGAACCTGAAACTAGCCGAGAAGAGCATCCAGCAGAGCGTTGTTAAGATCACCAAAGAAACCAGGTGCCTAGGCCCGGAGACATGCCCAGACCACCAGCGGACAGAGGGGCCTCGGGGAGCCAAGGCCATCCGCCCTTCAGAGCTAGTACAAGTTCTTGCTCTGGGAAATCTCAGATGGACTCAATCAGAATTTACTCTTCATCCATACAAATCTCTGACCAGCTGGTTGAGCCCTTGGGGACACAAAAGCTGGGTAGAAGCCAGCACCAACAAGCAGCCCAGATGGTCACCTTGATGAACTGCAGGTCAGAGAGGGCCCTCACGGTGTAGTCAGGACAATACGCAGACAAGCGGGTGCCATCGGCGGGCTCAGGCGGCGGGTCGTAGCGGATGGACTGGAGCGAGGACACCGGGGACTGGTGGACTACAGGAAGTACAGTCAGTGATGCAGCAGGGCAGCCCCCTGCCCTGGGGGATGACTGCACAGCCTCTAAGACCCACCCCACAAATCACTTTGGAGAGGGAATATGGCCAAGAACTTTGAAAAGGATGGCAAACACACCTCCTGGAAAGATTTTGCAGGGATGGAAAGAGCCACAAAGATGAGCCTGGGAGACACTGCCCTACCCTCCACACAGCCCAGGGATGAACAGAGCCAGAACACAGGGCACCGGAGAGCCCTGGTGACAACCAGAGGGGCCATCAGGCTCTGTCCCACCTGCCGGGAGGGCTGCAGCTTACCGGAGGACGGCGCCGTCAGGGCAGACACTCCATAGTAGGTAAAGGCCCCGTTCTCAAACTTCAGGCCCTCTTTCCCAATCTCTACCTCCACCCTGCCCTGGGAGGAAAGAGAGACAGGGAGAGAAACATGCGGACACTACCTTTCCTGCCAGGAAAGAGCACAGGGGAGAGCACCGACCCCAGTGTCCAGGGAGCATGCATCTGGATGGTCCTCCCTCTTCTCAGACCCTCCCTCCTTCCTAAGCAAGCAAGGAGGCGCCAGGCTGGGCTCCCAGTTACCTGCAGGATGAGGATGAAGTAATCCACTGGCTGGCTGCGCTGGTATAGGTAATGGTGCACAGCCAGGCGGTTGTTCTCGTCAAACCTCACTTCCTGATTGACGCTGGGATGCTTCAGCAGGTGCAGCAGAACCTTCTCGGAGATCCGCAGTGGGCTGAATACATCCACCTCTGCCCCATGGTGGAAGAAAGTGACAGAGGACAGTGTCCACCAGGCCCAGTGCGGCCTGTGTAAGTAACCACACCACCTCCTGCTGTCCACCTGGGCTCCCCCAGCTGGCCTGGGACCCAAGCCACCCCCCCAACAAGAGAGAGGTGGGCAGGCTCCCCTACCCACCCAGCCCAGCTCTACCCGGCTCTCAGCCATCGGGTAGAGGGGAGCTGCCCTCTGGTGACCCGAGATGCAGACAGGGCTGCAGAAAGAAGCAAAGAAATTCTCCCCGACACTCTCCTGCTTACTGGGAAGGAAGGGGTCTCCTGACCCACTGGACGCTGAGCAAGAGAGCAGGGACAAGGCCCACCCTCCCCCTCACCTCGGGAAAGGAAGCGCTGGGTGGCCAAGAGCAGCTGAGGCGAGATTTTCACTTTATATTCATTGTCAGACACCTTGAACAAGGAGAATTCCTCCTTTGCCCTGAGAGGAGCACTCAGAGAAGCAGGCTTCTTCTTCACCATGGTGTCTCCTGGGACAGAGAAGAAGGCCTGCATAGGGACCAGCAGCCCTCCAACCAATACGACTGAACCAAGCACCTGCTCCCTCCCCCCCAGGAGGAGAGCCTCAGAGCCGCAGGGCCAGGCCTTGGCGCTGCTGCCGGGATGGCACTGGTTGCCACGCCGACCACGCAGCGATCCAGTCCCTGGCTCAGAGGGGCAGCGACCTGCGTTCCAGCGACATCCTGAGAAGCACTGGAAAGCCTGCTCCCCTCCTTGGAGTTGGGAGAAGATAATGCCCATAACAGCAAAGCAGCTTATGTAAAACATCAGGCCCCTTATCGGAAAGCCCGTGTCTGAGAATTACCGGTGCCAAACAGCCCCTAACCTGTGGACCCTGCGCCTACGGCAGCCTGAGGAGCCAAACCAAAGATGCCGCATTTCAGGAACAGACACATGGGCAAAGAGATTCACTTGGAAGCTCGCAGGAGTGGGCGGCTCAGTGTCCTGGGGCCCATGTGAGGCTCGGTCGTCAAGCATGGGACCTCAGCCGTCATCCTGAAGGGTAGGAATGTCTGAGACAGAATCATGGGCCCTCGGTCATCTGCCTGGGGAAGAACCTCTCAGCAGTAAAGAATGGGGTTCTTTGAGAAGACACGTGTATAATTCACAAATGAACATGAGAACGCAAAAGGACCAAGGACAAGAAAGGCTGGGTGAGGCCCGTTTAGGGCAGAGTCCCAGGCAATCAACGGAACTGCCAAGCCACTGATGGACAGGCCACTGTGGTTCAGCGTCCAGGTGAGAGCCCTCCCTCCTGCACAGGGCAACAGCGGTGCACACAGGGGTAAGGAGAACAGGGCCTGGGTATGTAACAGCTCCAATCGGAGATCCAGCCCCGCTTCTGACAACACGGAGACCCTCCGTCCTCTGATAAACACGTCTCAGTAAGCGTGAAAGACCAGCGGAGCTGGAAAACTGCCGGGGCCAGGACTCACGGTAGTCTTCAGACTCGTCCAGGATCTCAGACTTGATGATCTCCTCGATGACGTCCTCCAGGGTGACCAGGCCCAGCACCTCGTAGAAGGGGTCACCTTCGCCCTCGTTGTTCACCTTCTGCACGATGGCCAGGTGGGACTTCCCTGCAGGGAGGCCATGCTCATGTTACGGCTTGCTGGGGGGCCTCCTGTTTTTCCTAGTCCCATCTGACGAGCCCACCAGGACAGGAGCTCATGTCTGTGTTCCTACAACACATCAGGCACCAGGCGAGACTCTTCCCAGGTTCTTACTTGAGACTCTCAGCGTGCCCTTGAGGATTAAATCTCAGACACCATGTTCACCTGTCCAAGGCCCCCCAGGCAGTGGCAGAGTTGGACTCAGCCCCAGGTCTATGACTACACGCTGCACACGTGGTTTAAACAGGGACACATGCAGACTGGAACAGACGCTGTGTGCAGCCTCCGGACTGCAGGCACAGGGGCCTCAACGCCAGAATCTCCGGCTCCCCTGGGACTGTCCGAATGGGAGGCCGAGAGGGGCTGCCCCTCCTGATTTTCCAATGGAAGCTTTTCCAGTCCTGAAAGCTGCCCTGTATTTCCAGAAGCCAAGGTCCATGGAAGTCATCGGGGGATGAAGACAATGGGGACAGGCCAGTGAGAGCTCAGATTGTGTAGGAGGAAGAGGAGCCGCCTGCAAGCTCCTCTCCCCCTTCTGTGTCCTCAGGTTGGCTGACTGCTTAATGGGGAAATGTAAGCTTGAAAAAAGTCCTGTCTCAAAGCTGGGAAATGTTAGGGAAACTTCAAGAATTGACTCTGCTTCAGGAGAGGTAAAGAACTGAGAAGTTAGAGCCAAGTGGACATACCTCCCCAAATTGGGGGCCTGCCAGGAAAAGGGGGTTTCGCTGTCTATAGCACTGTCAGTTCCAGAACGACAGCCTTTAAGTGATATTTCAAAGGGTCATTAGAAGCTGCAGGGCCATCACCTTCTCTGAAAGAGCCCTTAAGAGGGGGAGGGTAGAGTGTATGCCTAGCATGCATAAGGTTCTGGGTTCAATCCCCAGCACTTACATTAAAAATAAATAAGTAAAAACCTAATTGCCTCCCCCTGTCCCCGCGAAAAAAAAAGAGGGGATGGGATCCTTCCCTAGGGGCTTCCCTAAACCCCGCTTCCTTCTCTAGAGGGAGGGCGCTGCCATTCGAGTCCCCTCAGCGATTCCCCGGCCGTTACCTCGCTTGAATTCCTCCAGGACGGCGTCCAGTTTGGTGTCATTGAAGACGAAGTGGAGTGGGTGGTTGTAGAAGCGAGTGATGGTGCTGAGCGGTGTGCAGTCTTCGGGGTCCACGAAGGCCAAGTCCTTGAGGTAGAGCATGTCCACGATGTTGGAGCGCTCCTCTTCGTACACGGGGATGCGCGTGTGCCCGCTCTGCATGATGCTGGCCAGGACGCCAAAGTCCAGCACGGTGCTGGCGTCCAGCATGAAACAGTCCTCGAGGGGCGTGAGCACATCCTCCACGGTCCGGCTCGGCAGCACGCCCTTGCTGAGATCGCTGTAGGGGTCCCGCCACCGCGCGCCAGCTCCAG